ACTTTGTCAGTGTGGAACAATTGGTGTTTATAGGAATAGAATTTCTTCTTGCACTTCATAAATGTGAGAAGATCTTGACTTCCCTTATCAGAGTCTTGGCATATCTGGAATTCACTCTGCACTGGACTCACCTGGAATGCTGTAACCTGATGCTTTGATAACAGACTGGGAAAGGAGCTCCAGCAGAAAGCTCCTTAATCTGCTGATAAATTGGCTGCTAATTGATGTAGAACACTTTGCTGGCTCTTTATCTTGCTTATGGTGCCCCACGCTCCCCCAGTAACAAGTGTTACTGGAAATGTAAAGCCTGGATAATTCAGATTAACAGCCCCCTGTTGCTCTGCAGTGATGGTGCCTTAATTGAGGCCGAGTTTGGGATAATCTGAAAGCCTGAGTTGTGTTTATTTTCTTTATAAACCTTTGCTGGACAACTCAACTCCTCTTCTCCCTCGTAGGCCAAGCGGTGCCGGCTGTTTGGCTCTTCATCCATGTCAAGCATTGCAGGAAGAACCACCCAGAAAAGGATGGAGAGATCCCAGGAGGAGAATTCTCCAGGGAAAAGCAAGAAGAGGAAAAGCCTGCCCGGAACTTCCGAGGACTCGACGGTTGGTGGCTCAGCATCCAGTTTGTGACTGAGAATTGATGAGGGGAGATGCAGGGTTGGGGTCTGGTTTGTGAAGGTTGGTGGGAGCTTTTCCAGGTGGATTTTTGGGGCAGCAATTCCACAGTCCTGAACCTGAGCTTTGCTCTGAGCAGGGAAGCTGAGGGGAGTGGTTCAGGCTTGGGAGTGCACTCCAAGCTGTCAGCATGGGAAACAGGGAATGGGACATGTCTGCCCTCGGTGCTCATGGATCTCTGTGTCCTGCAGAGCCTGAAGCTGGTGAGGACCCAGCCCTCCACTGCAGAGATCGAGAGCATTTTAGACAGTGACCAGAGAGACCTTATCGGGGACTTCTCCAAGGTAATGCCAGAGATTCCATGGCCAAGTGTTGAATGAAGTGTTCTAAGGGCCTCTCTTGGTGGGGATGTCTCAAACCAGCCCAGAAAAACACTTCCCTTTATAGAGGCTTTTCTGTTCCCTCAAACTTGCATTGCTTCTTGGGCCTTGATCTTGGAATCTTTTCCAACGTTAACAATTCTTTGGTCTTAAAACAACCGGGAGAGGCTGTTGGTGAGAAGGGAATATTCCAGGTTAGACCAAACTGATCCATTTGTGGTTAAAGCCCTATAAAATCCCTCTAGTGTAGGAGCTAAAAACTAAATTCTGTGCCTGATTTTAGCATTCTTAGGAGTTTCAACTCCTGCAGAGGTTCTGCCCAGCAGAGTATCCTTTAGAGAGTGAACTGGTGGATGCTGTGCTGTCACCCATGTGACTCACAGCTGGAATTTTCTCAATCCTGTCTCTTCCAGAGTTATTTATTTGACACTGTCGATGGGAAACATCAAGATTTAAAGTACATCGACTCCGAAATGGTGAGTGCTCCAAAGGAACCAGAAAAATTCTTTAGTGAGGGTTGGGGAACAACACAAAAATGGCTTGAAACAACTGAACTCTGGTTTTTGTGATTTTTTTTTTTTTTTTTCCCTCAGATTGTGTCTGTGCTGACTGGCAAGTTTGAGAGCTTCATCAAGCAGTGTGTGATAATTGACTGTAGATACCCCTATGAGTACGAAGGGGGACACATCAAGGTATGTTGGCCCCATAAGAGCAGTGCAGGTGGTCTGAAGCTGCAGCCTGGGGTCACTGGGATCCCTGTGGGGCTGATTTTATCCAAGGCCCTGTGGATATGTTATTCCTGAGGGGCCTTTCTGGGATCCTGTCATGCTCACCCGCTGCCTGGGATGTGACACTCTGTGTCCAGCATCCTCATCTCTCAGGATGCTAAAATTGGGATGCTGAACTTCATTTCAATGACAGACTTCAAAGGAAAAATGGCTGTGTAAAACACAGCAGGAGCAGGTCGCCCAGACACCTTGTGGTGTTAGAGCCCCTTTCAGTGCCTGGAGGGGCTCCAGCAGAGCTGGGGAGGGACTTGGGACAAGGGATGGAAGGACAGGACACAGGGAATGGCTCCTACTGCCAGAGGGCAGGGATAGATGGGATATGGGGAAGGGATTCCTGGCTGAGGAATCCCACAGAGCCACAGACTGTCTGTGGTGCCCTGGTGGGGTTTGGAGCTGTGTTGGGAGAGGGTTCCAGAGCTCCCCCAGCTAACCCAGGTGGGGAATTATTCCCCACGGGAGTGGGATGAGTTTGTGGCTGTTTCCTTCCACTCAGTGCTCGGACTCTGCCCTTGCAGGGTGCCATAAACCTCCACATGGAAGAGGAGGTGGAGAATTTCCTGCTGAAGAAGCCGATCCAGCCCTCGGAGGACAAGCGCGTCATCGTGGTGTTCCACTGCGAGTTCTCCTCGGAGCGTGGCCCTCGAATGTGAGCTCCCCTCCCTGCCTGGGCTGTTCCCTCAGCACTGGGAGCACTGGGAGCACTGGGAGGGGCTGGGCTGTCACCCTGTGCTGGCTGTCACCCTGTGCTGGCAGGGTTTGGCACAGCCTGGGGGTGAGGAGCCGTGCTGGGCCTGGGCTGGAGCGCTGGAATGTTCAGAGGCTTTTCCTTTCCCCTCTGAACTTTGGCTGTGGGGCTCCTCGAGCTCTCCCTGACAGGCAGCTCCAGCTCCTCCATCGAGGGATGGGGGTTTGGATGCAGCTTTGGGAATTTTAGTTGAATGTGGGATTTAACACGGGATTTTCCCTGCTGCAGGTGCCGGTTTGTGAGGGAACAGGACAGGCTGAGCAATGAGTACCCCAACCTGCACTACCCAGAGCTCTACGTGCTCAAGGGGGGCTACAAGGATTTCTTTTCGAGGTGCCAGGTGAGTAATGTGGATTCCTCGTTCCTGGAAGTGTCCAAGCTCAGGTGGGAAGGGGCTTGCAGCAGCCTGGGACAGTGGAAGGTGTCTCTGCCATGGCAGGGCATGGAAGATCTTCTAGGTTCCTCCAACTCAAGCTTTTCTATGATCTCTTTCACACTCAGAGAAGAAATAGTAGATAAATAATATTAATTTCTTCCTACTCACACTTCTCTTTGGGGCAGAGTGGCTTGGCTGGGGGCTTTTCCTCCTTGTTCTCTTTCATTGGGCTGTTCCCAGAGCAGCTCAGCCTGTTCTGTGTCTCGGAGCTGTCTTCCTGCCATATAGCTGAAAGGCTTTTCTACTTGTCTCAAGTAAAATAGAAGTGGTTTCTGCCCCTTCAGGAGCAAACTGTCACTCAGAGAAAGGATTTCAGTCTGCTCAGAGCAGGGGAGAAGACAAGGCTTGACAGTAATTGCTGGATAAACGGAAACCTGAGGTCTTGTACAGTCCTAAACCAGCAAAATTGAAAACCTGAGCTTGGAGTTTGCAGCCTCTAATTAAGACAAGGAAATTAAAACCCACCTCCCAGCTCTTCCCAGCACTTCAGGGGTGAGATTTCTCCTGTCCTTGGCTCCTGCAGCATTTCCATGGTCCCAGTGCTCCTGGGATCTGTCCTGCTGCTCTGACACAAACAGCCCTCAGCTCCTCAGGTCCCCACACTTCCACAGGGGAGGTGGGAGATGCCTGGCCCATCCATGGCCAGCTGGATGGGGCTGTCAGCTCCTTCCTTCCCCAGGGGATGCTGGCTCTCCCAGCCCTGGCAGTGGTGCTGCTGGCTTTTGGCTCCCCTGGGCTGAGGGACACCCGGGCTTTGGGGTGTCCCCGTGGATTTTGGGTTGTCCTGAGGAGGGGGCCCCGATGCCTCAAGGTGGCAGCACGGGACAGCCGAGGGCAGCTCCCGGGAGCTCCCGAGGCACCGGGATCGTGGGAGGCACCGGGATCATGGCACGCTCTGGCCTGGAGGGGACCCGCAGTGATCAGTGTTCCCTCCACGACCTTGCCTGGCCGCCCTGCCCTGACCAGCTGAGCTGGAACATCCTTCCAGTCCGTGCCACTGCAAGGTGAACTCTCAACCAGCTCAGCCTGTGTTGTGTTGTCTGCCAGGAAATTTGGGATGAGAGCCATGAACACAAAGCCCTTGTTTTGTTGGCTGTAACCTGAATTTCCCCGGAATTCTCCTGCCTGGAAGGGGTGTCTGTGCCTGTTTGCAGTGGCTGCTGGTGCTGGGATCACCACGCTGGTGACACTGAGGTGACCCCAGCTCCTGTTTCCCCAGAGCTTCTGCGAGCCCCAGAGCTACCGCCCGATGCACCACAAGGACTTCAAGGAGGACCTGAAGCGGTTCCGCACCAAGAGCCGGACCTGGGCCGGGGAGAAGAGCAAGAGGGAGATGTACAGTCGGCTCAAGAAGCTCTGAGGGCTGCAGGGACCTGCAAGGACTGCCCAGCCCGGGGGCTGCAGCGGCACAGCCCCGTGTTCCTGTGCTCCCACTCCCCTGGGTCTCCTCCCTGGGATCACCTGGACCTCGGCCCCACGAGCCGGACGCCGGCTGGGAGCTGCCTTGGGATTCTCTTGGTTACGTTGCTTCGTGAAAATGTTGTGGCTTCTTGTGTTGTGTGACACCCCCAGCCCGCCCAGGGAGGCTGGGGACAGCCTCGTGGGGCTGGGCTCGGTGTCAGCACTGCCAGGGAATTGTAGTGCCTGTTAATTTTTAAATGCTTATTTTATTTAAATACAGTCAAATGAAGCCAATACCGCTGCGGTTGGATCATCTGGGTTGTACTTAAACCTTGTTTCTGCTCCAGGGTGACCTGTTGGGGGGGGATTGAGGGGGTCATTATTTTTCTCAGCTGCAGTTTTGGTTCTGTGCAGCATTGTGGGAAGGAAAATGGGAAATATCCCGTGATGGCTCAGGATTCCCACCTGGGCGAGCTGCAGGAAGCCTTGGGAGCCCAGCTAAGGGAAACTGCTTGTTGTTCATAAACATCACGTTCATCACTTCCTGCAGGGTGTTTCATTTCATGGTCTGTTTGTGCTGGTTCTGGAGGAGTTGGTGTTTCTGTGGAGGGAGAGGGTTTGGGAGCTGAGGGGGTTCAGCAGTTGGGTGATCTCAGGATTCTCAGTGGTGTCACAGCTGCCTCTGAGCCTGGGAGTTGTTCTCTTTCTCCTGAAGTGTTGCCAGAGTGGATCCTGGCTGTGAGGGATCCCAGCAGCTGCTCTGACACCACTTCTGGGGGTGGCTGTGGTCACTTTTCCATCTGCCAGGAAAGGCAGGAGGTGGGATTAATCTGTGGGGGAGGCAGAACTTCTCAGCTGTGTTGGACTCCCCAGCTGAGAAAGTTCTGCAGTTCCAAACTGCTTTGCTGCTGGTTTTGGGGTCACTTCAGCCCCAACTCTTAAATCCATCTTCCTCACACCAACTTCCAGGTGAAAAATTGGTGCTCCTGGGAAGCTCCACGTGCCTGGGAACTTCTTGGTTCACTCTGTTGTATCCATGTCAAAAACTACTGAAATGGAGGTAACTTATGTGGAATTTTAACTTGCTTTTTTTTTTTGAAACCCATTTCTTAAAACCTGCTGTTAATCCTTTTGCTCCCAAGAGGATTAAACTTGGAATTATCTTGTTAAAAAAAAAAAAAAATCATAATTTGCTGTTTTCCCTCAAAGCTGAATCCCTTGAGTGAGGAGATGATGAAATGTGAAATCAGAAGGGATGGTTGGAATATTCTCCCATTGCCTTGGGAAGGGCTCTGAGCTCTGGGAAGGGGATGTGGGGTGCTGGAGAGTCAGAGAAGGTGATGGGCAGTGCCCTGAGTGCCCCAAACTGCCCTTTGGCCTAGCTCAGCACCACAAGGGCTGGGCAGGATCTCTCAGTCCCACTCTGCCAGCTGCTCCATGGGAATGTTCCAACTCCTCCTCTGTGTCCAGAAGCAGCAGATGGACACTGGGCCAGGATGCTCCTTCCAGAGGTCACTCAGCTGGAGCACAACCATGGCAGCAGTCTCTGCTCTGCAGCTGCACTTCCCCTAAATCTCATTGTCCCTCAGTGCTGGTGCTCAGGGTGTGGGGTGAGTGTCCCAGCAGGGACTGGGACTGGCTGAAACCCCAGAGGGCTGCAAAGGAGACCCCCCCTGTCCCTGTCCCTGTCCCAGCCCATTCCAAACTCTCAAAACTAAGATTGCTGTGGGCACAGGGAAAAAATCCCAAACCCCAAACTGTTGCCTGCACCTCTCCTTGCAGCAGGACACAGCTGGAGCTGCCCCTGCACCCCTGGCAGTGCCCAGGGCCAGGCTGGGCACTGGGGCAGTGGGAGGTGTCCCTGCCATGGCAGGGTGGGCACTGGGTGGGCTTTGAAGTCCCTTGGACCCAAACCACGATGGAGTTCCACTTTGCAGCCCCCTGAGTGTCAGAGTTCCCCTCCCAAAACCTCGGGAGGCTCCAGCAGAGAACAGGGTGGGGTTTCTTTCCCCCTTCCCTCCATCTATCACCCTAAAAACTGATGTTGAAAGCAGCTTAAAACTTCATCAGCCTCGGCCCCCAGCTCCTGGTGTTTCCTCCCATGCCACGTCACCTTTGTGGCCTAAAGGACTCTTGTGCTCTGTCTTTGGGGCTAATAAAGGCACCTGCAAAGGGCCAACAGCTCCCGGATCCCTTGGATTCCCTTGGGAATTGGCAGTGGGTGTTGGACGTCCCTCCAGTGCTGCCTCAGTGGTGTTCAAGCTCCCTTAAGAAGAGGAAAAAGGAGATTTTAGCCATAACCAGGCAATTCTCTGGTTTTAAATCCTTTTGCATCTTTTCAAAAAAACTTTGCCCTTCTGCCTCCTCTGTTTTCTTTGTGCAGCAGCTCTTCCCAGGCCTCTTGGAGCCTGTTCCCCCATCCCTGCCCCTTTTTTCCCCCATCCCTGCCCCTTTTTCCCCCCCATCCCTGCCCCTTTTTCCCCCCATCCCTGCCCCTTTTTTCCCCCATATCCCTGCCCCTTTTTTCCCCCATATCCCTGCCCCTTTTTCCCCCATATCCCTGCCCCTTTTTCCCCCATATCCCTGCCCCTTTTTCCCCCATATCCCTGCCCCTTTTTCCCCCATATCCCTGCCCCTTTTTCCCCCATATCCCTGCCCCTTTTTCCCCCATATCCCTGCCCCTTTTCCCCCCCCATCCCTGCCCCTTTTTCCCCCATATCCCTGCCCCTTTTTCCCCCATATCCCTGCCCCTTTTTCCCCCATATCCCTGCCCCTTTTTCCCCCATATCCCTGCCCCTTTTTCCCCCATATCCCTGCCCCTTTTTCCCCCATATCCCTGCCCCTTTTTCCCCCATATCCCTGCCCCTTTTTCCCCCCCATCCCTGCCCCTTTTTCCCCCCCATCCCTGCCCCTTTTTCCCCCCCATCCCTGCCCCTTTTTCCCCCCCATCCCTGCCCCTTTTTCCCCCCATCCCTGCCCCAGTTCCAATCAGGTAAAATTCACTACAATTCCCCAACAAGCCAAGCTCCTGCAGGTTTGCAAATGGCACTGCCAGATGTGTGGGGCAGTGACTGGGAGAACTCCCTCTCCCCAAACCTGAGGGGTTTACCAGGGAGAAAACACAGCAGGAATTGCCTGGGAGGAAATCTTGGCTGTACCTCAGTGAGTTGTTTCCTGAGGGGGATTCACATGGCAGGGCTGGCACTGCCAGGCTTTTCCTGCCCCAAAATCCCTCCCGTGGAGGGGCAGAGTGCAGGGAGGTGCAAGCCCTGTGTCCCACCCAGGCTTGTCCCCTCAGTGCCACCTCCTGCCACTCTCCTGAGTGGCTGGAGGCCCTCGGGCACCTTTGGGGAAGGGATGTCACTGAGATGCCAGCAGGGAGCTCTGTCTTTGGGCTTTACCTGCTCTGGGGGCACTGGCCCAGGGCTGTGTGTGCTGCTGGATGGGCTCTCCACGCTCGTGGGGCTGGAGCAAGGAGCTGTAAAAAGGGAGAAAGAACAACATCAAAAGCAGAAAGTGGAAGGAGGCCAAGAGGAACGTGGCCAAGTGCCCTTTTCTTCTTTCTCTTTCACGCAGTGAGGGAAATCCCCAAGCCTGTGGGGACATCTCTGTGCCAGCCATGGCCACAGCTCTGCCACCACAGGGACATCCCTGTGCCAGCCATGGCCACAGTTCTGCCACCACAGGGACATCCCTGTCCCAGACATGGCCATGGCTCTGCCACCATGGGGACACAGCCACCACGGGGACATCCCTGTCCCAGACATGGCCATGGCTCTGCCACCATGGGGATATCCCTGTGCCAGCCATGGCCACGGCTCTGTCACTATGGGGACATCCCTGTGCCAGCTATGGCCACAGTTCTGTCACCATGGGGACACAGCCACCATGGGGACATCCCTGTCCCAGCCATGGCCACGGTTCTGTCACCACAGGGATGGCCCCGATGGCAGCCCGTGGCACCTGGCAGGGGTTACCTGTGGGGTGTCTGCACCCACTGATCTCCTCCCCACGTGGGCCTAGCTGTGCCCTGACCTGTCCCGAGGCTCTCGTGCCCTTGGAGAGGGCAGAGGAGGTGCCAGGCTTTGGGCTGTGCCCCGGCCTGGCTGTGGTGAGCCCTGCTTTGGGGGGCAGAGCTGGTTTTTGGGGGGCCAGAGCTGTTTTTTGGGAAGCAGGCTGAGGAGATGAGTCCTACTTTGGGGTGCAGAGCTGGTTTTTGGGAAGCAGGCTGAGGAGATGAGCCCTGCTTTGGGGGGGCAGAGCTGTTTTTTGGGGGGCAGAGCTGTTCTTTGGGAAGCAGGCTGAGGAGATGAGCCCTGCTTTGGGGGGGCAGAGCTGTTTTTTGGGGGGCAGAGCTGTTCTTTGGGAAGCAGGCTGAGGAGATGAGCCCTGCTTTGGGGGGGCAGAGCTGTTTTTTAGGGGGCAGAGCTGATTTTTAGGAAGCAGGCTGAGGAGATGAGCCCTGCTTTGGGGGGCAGAGCTGTTTTTTGGGGGGCAGAGCTGTTTTTTGGGGGGCAGAGTTGATTTTTAGGAAGCAGGCTGAGCAGATGAGCCCTGCTTTGGGGTGCAGAGCTGTTTTTTGGGGCAGAGCTGTTTTTGGGGCAGAGCAGTGCTTTGGGAAGCAGGTTCAGGAGCTGCACCGTGCTTTGGGAAGCAGCATGACAAAGGATTCAAACCCACTGAACCAGTCTGGCGGGTGCTGAGCTCCATGGGGGCGTGTTGTGCTCATGGGAACTCTGCCAGCATCACCAGGGTCCCGGGCAATGTGGGGTCTGCCCTGGCAGAGCGAGCAGAGGGAATTTGGGGCGCTGTTTGGGGTTCTCATGGGTGCAGAGCTGCTGTTTGTGTTGGAGGGGATGGATTTGGTCCTGGACCTTTTCCTGTTGCAGCAGGAGTGGAGCCAGAGCTCTGCACTGGGAACAACTGGTGACATCCCCAGCAGGATTCCCCAGGAATCCTCAGCCTGGCTGGAATTGGGTGAGAGATTTGAGCATCCATCTCTTGCAGGGAGTCCAGAGGAGGCCCCAAAGGTGATCAGAGGGATGGAGCAGCTCTGCTGCAAGGAGAAGAGAACTGGGATTGTTCAGGAAAAGAGAAGCTTTGGGGTGATACCCAGAGGCTTTCCAGTGCCTGAAGGAGCTACAGGAAAGATGGGGAGGGGAATTTGGGGTGACAGGGAAGGGGGAATGGCCTTTTCTTCTCCAGGCTGGACAGCCCAGCCCTCCACAGGAGCGCTGCTCTCCTCTCCTCCAGTTTATTCCCATTCCCAGCTGCTCCCAGCGTGGTTTTTGTCAGGGGCTGTGAGCCAGGAGCTCTCTGCACCAGCAGCTTTGGGGTGCCAGGGCTCCCTGCTGCTCAGCACAGCCTCACTCTCCAGCCAGGCTGAGATTCCCGGGGGATTTCACCCCAAATTCACATCAGGCAGCATCTGAACCATCATTCCCACCCACCTCCTGGGCTGGGGGCAAGCAGGGACTGCTCTGAGCTGGGCAAGGAGAAGCAGCAGGAGGATTCCTGGGGCAGCAGCAGCACAGGGCCGTGTGGCCGTGTTAAATTAAATTAAATTAAATTAAAATGTCCGTGGCTTGGAGGGGAGCTGCCAGCGGCGGTGAAGGCGCCGGGAGCCCGCAGACAAAAGCACAATTGTTGGAGGAGTGAGGCTGCTCCCCACGTCTCTGGGTGCTGCCAAACAGCAGCTGGAGCCCGGGGAAAACAATTCCCTGATGCCCCCGTGGGCACCGGGCACCCGGCGGGCACAGCAGCCGGGCCAGCCCAGAGCATCCCGGGTGGGCACTGCGGGATGCTCAGGGCTGTGCTTTGTGCCATCCCTGCGGCCCCGAAGGACAGAGGGACTGAGGGGCAGAGGGGACATTCACAGCCTGTTGGAATCTGTGGGTATTGATGATTCCAAGATTGTAGAAAGTCTCTGTCTTTCTGCCCCGAAGCCATAATTGGTCTGTGCTGTTTCAAGGTTGTTTATTCTGTTTATCTCTAACATGTTCTGCTGCCCTGCCGCAGCTCTGTCCTGCAGGGCAGCGTGTGGGGCTCTGCCCTCAGTGGGATGTTACAAACATTAAATACCACAAACTCCCTGTGCTGGATTTACAATAACGTGCCAATATCTGTCACCTACGTTGGACAGTGTGTCCCCAGCCTAAACCAACAGAAAAATGCCAACACCACAGTGAAACATGGAGGGCATGAAGAAGGAGAAAAAGGACAAGGCACACCCAATTCCTCCATCTTGTCCCCTCTGAACCCCTAATCTAGAAACCTAAAATTTTACTCTTGCACCCGTGTCACACTTAATTATTATTCTTATCAAACACTCAAAGCTTGTAATTCATGCTGTAAGATTGAAAACTCTTTTCCATGGCCAGAGATCACAGCCAGTGATCTGTCCAGGGGGGTTCCTGACCCCTGCCAGGGTCCCAGGGCAGCCAGAGGGAAGCCCTGGATTCCCACAGGGCTCGGGTGCTTTTTCTTCCTCCTGGAAGTGATGAGGAGATCCCTGCCAGGCTCTTTCTCCTCTGGACAGCCAGAACAGTATTTTCTTCCTGTGGGATGATGTTGCTATTGACAGAAGTATGTAGACACCCACCCCTCATAAATAACTGGGTTATTGCCAAACAGAGGCACACACACCCTGACACCCTCTCTGTCTGCTGTCTTCTTCTCTCCCCCTGCCCAGGGCTGCTGCTGTCTTTTATATGATATATTACGTGTTATATGTTTACAGATTTTCCCCAATACCTACTACCTATGTTACAATGTGCTTTTCTACTCTAAACCAATCTGTGAGTGCCAGCATCACCAAGAACATGGAGGCAAGGAAGAAGGAGGAAGAACAGGATCAGGCCCACTTTCCTCCATCTTAGAACTTCTGACCCCCATGTACAAAGTAAAAACCCCCTGTACAGGTGGTAAAACCCCCCTGTACAATACTAAAAAATTTTCCCCTCTACTTTGTGACTACTTCTACTATACTATCTAACCTTTTGTGACTGTTTGTTCCACCTTCAAAGTTGGTAACTCATTCCATGGCTCAAACCCAAAATCACAGCTGTTTCCAGCTGCCTGCCAGGGTCTAAAATGCTTCTGACCAGGGCCTGGAACCTCCAAAAATGTCTGAGGGACATTTTGAGTTCTAACACCTTGCAGTGGAGTCACGGGCTCGGGATGCTGGGAGCAGCCAAGACATTTGAATCAGGCCAGGAGGAGAAGCTGTTCCAGCAGAAAAGAACAGAACAGTTCAGGGAGGTTCAGTCTGTAACTCTTCAAGGAGCACAGGAGATGTGAGGGTTTTCCACCTTCTCCCCCCAGCACAATCAGCGCCCTGAGGCACTTCCATGTTTCATCAGACTTCCTGTGAGCAGAAATTCAATATTCAAATAACAGCAGCCAAGATTCGTACCAGTGGGATTATTTCAGCACTGGGATGTGATCCTTTGTGGGGTTTGTATGCCAACATGGACAGACTGAGCAGAAGGTGCTTTTTGGCAACCCCTGAGCTTTTCTCCCACAAGTAAATAATGGAATGTCCTGAGCTGGAAGGGCCCACAAGACCATCGAGTGCAGCTCCTGAATGAAGATGCTCAAGGTGGGGTCAGAGGGATGAAAGGCCCAATCTTTTTAGAAATGTGGGGTTTGGCAGCATCCTGAATCCCTTCCCTGCACCCCCAGTGTTCCTCCAGCCCCACAGCTCCCATGGCACAGAGCCAGGAGCAGAACCTGCCACAGCCACCCACAGGTGACAGAGAGCCACATCACCCACTCATTTCCACACCCATGGCGAGGCTGGCAGGAGATGAGTTTTGAGATCCCTTCCAACCCAACCATCCTGGGATTCTGTGGTTCCAGGACTCCCTGAAGGAACAATAGCAGCAATCCCTCCTGCACATTATGGAGATGTATATGCACAATATGCTGATTTTACTCTGTCTCTTTGTTTAGCAGCTTTAACTGCTGCAGGATTAATGGCCTGGAAAGATTAGAACCAGACAGAACCGCTGTGGGGCTCAGCTGAAGCTGCTCTCCCCCCCTGGGGCTGTGGTGAGGCTCTGCACAACATCATGATGCCATCTCAGGGATTTGGTTCCATTTCCTCTGCTGGCCTGGCAGAAAAGGAAATATTTTATTCTAATGAACAGCAGGGTTCGAAAATATGCTGATTGTTTTCAGCTCGGTGCATTTGCAGCGATAAATGAATAGCAGCAAACAGCCAAGCCCCCCACCCGTGCCTTTTTTGGGGTTGAGCAGTGGGCTGTGGGTGCTCCAACCCTCCCTAAGAGCAGCTTTGCATTTCCTGAGCTGTTCTTGCAGTTTGGGCCTGATTTTCTCTCTGAACAGAGCCTGTCTGCTGCCAGCTGCCAGAGGACAGATGATCTCCCCTCTCTCTGTGCTGAGTGTCCTGGCTGGGAAGCTCTGAGGGATTACCACGGGATAATTTGGTAATAAATGGCCATATTTGTGATATTTGGTTACAAATCACATCCTAATGTGCTTTAATAAGGTGGTGTGTTTACCATGCAGCCAAAAACTTTCTATTTCATCACAAACCCTCCAGGATTTCTTCTCTTTTAATGTAATCCTAGAGAAACCTTGGACACAATCCTTACCCCAGTGCTGTTCTTGGTTCTCTTCTCCCAGACCAAAGCCTGACTTGGCAGCAGCTCACGGAGAGTTTGGTGCAGGACCTTGTCAGCAGAACCATCAGCAAAGGTGAAAAAGGTTTTTTTTCCCAGCAAGGCACCATCCCTGCAGAGAAAGGAGAGGATTGGGAAGCTGCAGAGGCTCCTGTGCTCCCAGTTCCTGGGATCTCCCCAGCTCCAGCCCTTCCTGTCAGCTCCAATGCTCCACGGAGGACCTGGGGGTGTTTTGCTGGAATTTCAGTTTCTGAACAAGTAAGGAAAGTTTCTTTCAGTGTTTTTTTGGGGTTTTTTTTTTGGTTTGGTTTTTTTTTTTTTTTTGTTTTATCAGTCTCCCATTTCATGGTGAAGGTTTAAATCTGGTGAGGAAGAGCAAGGCCTTGCTCCTCTGGCCCAGCCAGAAGATAAAAAACGAGTCACCTCTGCTAAAGTGCATTTGTGGAGGCAGCGAGTCTGGGCTGTAATTAACACAGGGCATAATTACACTCATGGCTTTTTGCAGTGAAGAGGGAAATCAGGGGCACTGCTGCCCTTCTGTCACCTTTCCCTGGGATGGCCTTGCTCACATCCCAGAGCTCCTGGAAGAGCCTGGCCAGCAGTTCTGCAGACAAACCCCTTGGGTGATCCTGAGGGAGGGGATTGTGCCCCTCTGCCCCTCAGGTGAGACCCCACCTGCAGAGCTGCCCCAGCCCCAGATCCAGCAGCACAAGGACCTGGAGCTGCTGAGGGACCCAGAGAAGCCCCCAGAGCTGCCCCAGGGCTGGGAGAGCTGGGAATGTTCCCCTGGAGAGGAGAAAATTCCAGGGAGAGCTCAGAGCCCCTGCCAGGGCCTGAAGAAATGGAAAGGGACAAGGGATGGAGGGACAGGACACAGGGAATGGCTTTAGCTGAAGGAAGATACATTTAGATTGTTTATTAAGAGGAAATTCTTTGCTGAGAGGGAGCTGAGACCCTGGCACAGGTGCCCAGAGCAGCTGTGGCTGTCCCTGGATCTCTGGCAGTGCCCAAGGCCAGGTTGGACATTGGGGTTGGAGCAGCCTGGGATCATGGAAGGTGTCCCTGCCATGGCAGGGGTGGCACTGGATGATCCTTAAGGTCCCTTCCAGCCCAACCATTGTGGGGAGGAGAGGCTGGGAGCAGCAGTGCTGTGAGGGCTCAGCTTCTGGAGCCCTGGTGGGACACACCAAGCACAGGCTCATCCAGCTCCTTTCCCATCCCATTTTGCAAGGGCCCTGTCCCCGTGTGAGAACCTTGAGCAGTTCCCCTGATGTGACAAACTCTGTTACAAACCTGCACTCATTCATTAGTGCTCAGGCTGCTCTCAGTCCATCCCCCCTTTAATAACTCTCTCTCACCAGTGCTTATTTGGGATGACTGTGGGAAGGTTTTGGAACTAGATACAGGCTTGGCAAAACACTCATTATGGCTGTGGCTCATCTTCTCAACCCAGAAATTGCATCTTCCCCCAGTGCCCCAAATCTGCTTCCATTTGCTGAAGCAGCAGTTTGACATTGAGGTAATTTGGTTCTTTTCAGTGGTTTTGTATTTGACTTCTCAAGTTTCCTGAGGAATTTGTTGCAGACTTAATGTTTAATTGTGCTCTGGTAGGGTGACAGCTCGAGTTTAGCAAAAATCCAGCTAATGTTCAGATCTGGAATAATTTAATTCCAGAGCAGATGCTTTCCCAAAGGAATGGATTTAGTTAGATACTAATTTTAGGGAAATGCTTGGGCTGGTTACAACCAGCACTACTCTGTCAGCATGAAAAGCTCCGTGCAGCACGTTCCTGACACTTGTGACAAACTGATTATCCCTAATTCTCCCTTCCAAAGACTCCACGGGCAAGGAGAGGAGACAACAGCCATGGGAGCCTGTTCTCAGAGGGAGGAGAATTAATCCACTGACTCTGAAAACTGCTCTGAGGCCAACTCTGACAGAAGTCATCCATTAAGGAGAAAAGGGAGCCATGTCCACATGGGACACGACTTCAAGCAGATTCCCTTTCCAAAACTGCCTCTGCACTGAGAGATGAAAAGGTTCTCTGCTCCAGAAAACCAAACACTATGAAGGTCTCCAAGTGCTCTCCTGGCAGGATCTGGATGCTGTCCTGGCCTCGTCTGGGTTCAGATGGGGTTTATGGAAACCACAAGCACAGCCTGCAGGGTTTTCAGTTAAAACCCTGTTTTCTGCAGGATTTGAGCTAAAATCTTTTATCAGTGATTTAGTAACAATCAGGCCTGGAAAGAACTGCACACAGCAGCAGCTCTTCCATGGACTGTGGGTGCTCCTCTTGGAAGGAATGGCCTTGGGGACGTGCTGAGACACCTTAAATGCCTTGTCCCATCTGTCTGGGCACTAAATGACCCCACAGCTTCCCAAACTCCCTGTTGCCTCTACAGTTTTCTCCTGTTACCTCAATTCAGGTTCAATCTACCCCATGTGAGAGTGCTCACCTGGAGAAGCTCCAGGGAGAGCTCAGAGCCCCTTGCAGGGCCTGAAGGGGCTCCAGGAGAGCTGGAGAGGGACTGGGGACAAGGGATGGGGGGACAGGACACAGGGAATGGCTTTAGCTGAAGGAAGGTACATTTAGATTGTTTATGAAGAGGAAATTCTTGCAGGGCTGGAGCCAGCCCCAAACCTGGGCCAGCTGAGGAGCAGAGGATTTGCTCCTGAGCAGAGACTGCACCAGGTGCCTCATGATGATGTGTAACGACCTTTGGGGACTGGCTTTAATTTGGGAAAGGATCCTTGAGCCATTCAGGCTCCCCAGCCACCATTCACATCCTGATGTCCTGAGGGTTTGCTTGTCTGTCCCGACGCCTTCATCTCTCCCTGACACCAGTTAATTGCCACGGAGCTCTCTGATCTTCACGACTCTCCTGTCATCTTCCCCTCTCCTTCTCCAGGAGCCTTTTCCCAAGCTTGTTCTGCCTGTGCCATTCCCTGTTCAGTGCCTGATGCTGACACTGAACACCTCTATTTATAGATGTCTTCAGCACTTATTTCTTTATCACCTACTTCGGGTGGCATTTCATGCCCTTCACTTTCCCAGCTGGCACAGACCTTCTTCACGTTGGATAATTTGGGAGTAGTTTGGACAAGGGGGGGGGCTTTGATTCCTTTGGAGTTTGTTTTCTTCCCCTTAAAAGCAGTTTTTAATACAGAACCACTCCACAGAGGAGTGCTGCTATTAGGGATTCATTCAGTTTACCAAAAACTTGAAAATAGCTGAATTGGGCTGTTTGGTTGCCTGGATCCTTAGCTGGTGGATGCTTCCAATTATAATCAATTCATAGAGGTGGGGGCCTAAATTTTCCTTAATTCCTGCCTGTCTGCTGCCCTGCTGTTTTCTGTGATAAATCCTCTAGGCTGCAAAAATTAAAGTGCCAAGATAATACTTAAGATCAGTTGCCAACAGCCTCCTTTGCTGGGCCTTCAGACCTGCCTGCTCTCCCCAAAGGCTGTTTTATCTCTCAAAAGGTTGGAAAGGGGCTGTCTCTCAGTCTTTTTGCTTCTGCCATCGCTCAGACTTTTTAGCTTTCTGCCTTTTTTGAATTTCATAGCCTGCCAAGATTTTTTCCCCCTTGAATTATCTTTATTTTCCACGCTTTGTATAACAAGTTGTATTCCTATTCCAAGCAACTGCAGCACATTCACCCCCCCCCCACCCCCTTCCTTAAAGTTGCTCATTTTTGGGAGATGAATAAGAATATAAATGGGAATTCTCCCCCACAGTACTGAGAGCTGCTGTCATCTCCCCCAGCTCTCGTGTCTTTTAAAAGCAAGAGCAGAAAGAGATGTAGAGAAATCATGGCAGTTTGTGGCCTTTCAGAACAAACTTTGGGTATTATTGGCATTTTTTTTCCTCCCTGCAATGATGGAATTTCACAATCAGGTCTTCAGGTCTGCTGTGGAGTGCCAAGGGAAGAAATCTCCTTCTAGAGCCTGTGTTTAGGTTATGTCTTCCAGAAAGCTGGGCTTTACCAACATGGTGATTAAATTAGATGACAGATTGAGTTCCATCCTTCGGCATTTCCAGGCAACTCTTAATTCCGCCGTCAGCCGCCCTCTGGTTCAGCTGTAACTGGAGCAGCTCTGCTGCAGCCTGTGCTGCACTTTCACTGTGCTCCTTGGGACCTTTAATCCACACAGAGAGCTTGCTTCCAGCCTGAAAAGGTGTTTTTCATGCAATTTTCCTGTGCAGCTCATACTTAAAGCTGCAGCATCTGCATGAAAGCCACACACCCTTTATTTGCATGCCTGAAGTGCTGAGTGTGCAGGACAGGGACACCTGTGGAAGAGGAGAGAGCACGAGGTGAGACACTGAGAGATCACCCACCTCAGGTGAGGTGAGAAATGATGTGGTGGAACCAGAGCAAATTCTGAATGGCCAAGGGAGGATGCAGCAGAGAGCTTCCATTCTTTTTTTCTGTTGTAAGATGAAAACACAGGAATTAGAAGGCAGGACCACCACCCTCTGTAAGTTATAGCCACGGGGATTGCTGTCCCTGGGTTAGGAGGACTCAGAAAGAAGCGGATTGCTGGGTCCCACGATTGCCCAGAGTAGTCCTAAGGAGTGGTGTGAAAAGTCTGTGCTCTGAAAAGTCCTGTCCCAGAGCTCCAAGCAGCCCAGGAGACCCTGCAAAAGGAGATCACCCCTGCCTGGCCTGGCCTTGCCTGTGCCTGGCACAGCACACCTGGCACAGCTGTCCCCACACCAGATGTGGCCTTTGGTTGCCCTTCACAATTCCCTCTTTTTGTCCCAGCAGTGACAGCAGGGCTCACAGCAGAGGCCTGGAAATCTTCTGGACACCATGTCCTCCATGTCAGCACCCTCAGACCTCTCCTCCCAGCCTGCAGGTGAGTGGTCAGAACTTCCCCCTCTGCTGCTCTCTGCACCTGATCTTGTACCTGCTCACCTGGGGAAGGAACAGTAAATAAAACCCACCCAGGCCCTGGTCCCTGGCACACTGTCCTTGTCAGCGGAGGGAATGACTTGCACAAAACTTCTTGCAGACCCTCAGGCTTGATGGAGAGGGCTCTTTGCAGATGGCTTTTCCCCAGAACAGTCATCTTCTGTCTCATCAGGCAGCTTTTGTCAGTGCTGGTTACATGCTCTGTCTACTTCGGGCTGGGAGCTCCTCAGGGCCCAAAGACCTCTCACCCTCTTCTGTCCCCCAAGTTTTTTGTGCACCAGAAGGACAGAAAGAGAAAATCACCATCAAAGTGATCAGGAGTAATTTGGAGCTGCGTGTTTCTCACAGCAAGGAAGAAAACCTCCATGGCTGCACCAGGGAGAGCAGCACTGAGCGGGGAATGTCACAATCCCCTCTGCCCCCCACTTGGCAGTTTGAGGAGAATAATTTGATTGAAAGGCAAATCCTTTAATCTGCAGATATAAATCAGCAGAGTGGCAGAATTGCTTAGAATGGAACATATCATATAGGGCATGTCCTGTATGTCTTTTCCCTTTAAACAACCACGGGCCCTCCAGCTGTTAACCTATTTATAAAAGGTAACTTAAGGCTACGCGCAAACTCCTGGGGACATTTCATTCTGTCATTACAGCACAGATTTTTCTGCCTCAGAATAATTTGGCTCAGTTTATGAAGGCCCAGGCTAGAGAAGAGATACTAACAGAGGAGCAGGATGAAGCCCTCCAGAAGGCCGGGCTGCCCCGTGCTTCCCAGGACAAGGCTGTGCTTGGAGACAGAAGGATGCAAATATCAGCTACTGCATCCTGACAAGGCCCTGCAGGTTCTCCTCTTCCCACATGTGAAATCCCAAACTCCTGCTCCCGAGCTGTGTGTGGGAAGTGTCCCAGGTCACCCACAGCAGGACCTGTGGTGCTGGACAGCAGCAGGAGCTGTGTTTTCTGGCACCACAGAGCTCTTGGCAATAGAATTGACTGCCCCAGCCTCAGTGCAGCCCCCAGCCACCTTCCTCCTCCTCCTCCTCCTCCTCCTCTGTAGCCCCACACCAGGTTATAGCTGACAGAGATCCCAGATCAGGAGATCACGGGGTGTGTCACCTGCAAGGCAAATCCCATGACCAGTCAGAGAGCCTTGACAGGTCTCTGGGATGGCTGGGATCCCTGGCCAAAATTCCATGCCTTCCATTGTGCTGGAGTCAGCTTTGATGAGCAGAACAGCCCTGTCTGGCTGGCAAATGTCTGCCAGGGACCCACAATGCTTCTGTTGTCTCCAGAGCAGCGTCCTGCCTCGTTGAGTAGTTACCTTCTCCTTGCATCCCTGATCCGTGATAGGGGACTGATGAGGCATCTGTTTTGTAAGAGTATTCAAATTCTCCAAGCTGCATACAGACATTCAAAAGTGAATGAGCAGAAATTTCCTGACCATGAGAGTCTGTGGGTGCTGCTCCAAGTGTAGAGGCAATTCCACTCAAACCCTTTCCAGATCTGCTTCATGAGTTTTTCTCCTCGATACAGTTCGGGTTCATTACTTACTGACTGCACTGCTGCTCACTCCTTTTTGGATGTGACCCCTGCACGGGCTCTGCCCAGGATGAGTGAGGGATGTGAGGAGTGACAGCTCAGCCCTGGCAGCACTGCTTCCCTGGAGCCTCAACAGACCCCAGAGCTCAGACAGACCCCAGAACCAGGACAGACCCAGAGATCAGACAGAGCCTGGACAGACCCCAGAGCTCAGACAGACCCCAGAGCCCAGAACAGACCCCAGAGCTGAGACAGACCCCGGAGCTCAGACAGACCCTGGAGCCCAGGACAGACACCAGAACCAGGACAGATCCTGGAGCTCAGACAGACCCCAGAGCTCAGACAGACCCCAGAACCTGGACAGACCCCAGAGCTCAGACAGACCCCAGAACCTGGACAGACCCTGGAGCTCAGCAGACCCCGGAGCTCAGACAGACCCAGAGCCCCGGCAGACCGCCAGTGCTGCCCCTGTGGGCACCCACATCCCTGCTTTGAGCAGAGAATGAGGAGCTCTTGCCAAAGGGCAGGAAAGCTGCCCAGTTCATTACTGCTTATCTCCAACACTTGTGCTGTCAGTGCCCTGGGATGGGCTGTGTCACCCAGCGTCCTTCATTTGCACCGGCTCCCATCAAAGCGGTGACAAACGAGCGTTCCCCAGACTGAGCTTTCCCTTTCCAGCTCTCCCAGTGCCCAGAGGGGACTCACCCAGCATGGGTCAGGCTCACCTGAGAGCAGCCCCGGTGCTGGCTGCCCTACCTGCCCTGCTGGCCTAATGGGGCTGGCCAGGAGTGACTCCTTAGGGAGATGAGCTGGGCCCTTTCCCTTTTGCACAGCCACCGTCCCTGTCTGACCTGATGAAAGGGCAGAGCCATTGCCTAAGCACCTTCTCTCCTGCCATCAACCTCACCAGACAAAATCCCCCCCTCTGCCAGGACAAGGACAGCCACACCTGTGGTGTCTCACAGATCTTGTCTGCCTTACGCCGAGGACATTGGCTCCTGCTGCCCTCCCTTCCAGGCCACATGGAGAAGGAGGGGACTCGGAGTCTGGAAAAGCAAGTGGAAAGAAAATAGGTTACTTTCTTTAGCAGGACAAAGAAAGATAAAGGAGATGCTTTGAATTTTTGCACAGGTGAAGTATGTGGGGAGGCAACAAATGGAGTGTGGCCTGAGGTTGCTCCCAAGAAGCAAAGAATAGATGTCAGATTTTAAACTAAACCAAGGAAGTTTCATATTAAACAGTGCCCTGAGAAGCTGTGCTAAGCTTGGATTCCTTCCTTCCTTCCTTCCTTCCTTCCTTCCTTCCTTCCTTCCTTCCTTCCTTCCTTCCTTCCTTCCTTCCTTCCTTCCTTCCTTCCTTCCTTCCTTCCTTCCTTCCTTCCTTCCTTCCTTCCTTCCTTCCTTCCTTCCTTCCTTCCTTCTTCCTTCCTTCCTTCCTTCCTTCCTTCCTTCCTTCCTTCCTTCCTTCCTTCCTTCCTTCCTTCCTTCCTTCCTTCCTTCCTTCCTTCCTTCCTTCCTTCCTTCCCTCCTTCCTTCCCTCCTTCCTTCCCTCCTTCCTTCTCTCCATCCATCCCTGTTATTCTGTGATTTCCCTGGTTCCATGGAAGGAAATCCCAAAGTCTGGGCACACCATGTCCTTAATCCACCAAAGGTTTGCTCCTGTGTGATCACTGTGCAGTGAAGGCCTGGCTTTGGGCTCTCAGGTTGTTCTTTTGGGGAATAAATTCTAGGCTCAGAATTTAGAAGGAACAACCCAGAATCTCTTTTTGAAGCCAAAAGCAGTCAGCCCAGTGGTTAGACACACACTGATGTGTACTTTTTGTTGTATTATTGTGTTGTAACCCCTGTTTTTTTGTTGAGTTACTGAGTCTGTTCCACAGACACAGGAGGCACTGTCCTGCTCTAGGAGACAGGCAGCAGAAAGGCTCCAGAGGGGAAGAGAGGTGGATTTCCTAAGAAGAGAGAGGGAGGGATCTTTAAGGGTCTGATGATCAGGGTAGGCTGGGACAGCCCTGAAATTCAAACCTCTGCCCAGCCCTCCTAAAGAGAGCCATCAGGATGCTATTTTACTTGGAGCTTAAAAATAGCACACAGTACAAGCAGTTGTTATGGATCTGCCTTTCATCAGGACATGGGATTTCCCCTTACCGGCTCCAGCCCTGGAAAGGTACCCAGGATTGGGAGGCTGGGAGAGGGGTGGGCAGAGGGTGCAGCTTAACCCTGCCTGGATGGGGTGTGCCCCCTCCCACACCTCATGCCAAGGGTGTTTCCTCCCTCCAGTGACCAGACATGAGACACACCTATTTTAATTTTAGTCACCGTGCTTTGATTTGCTTATCTGGCAGGCCAGCGTATCTGTATTTTCATGATTTAGCAGCTCTGCAGCTCGCTCTGGGCAGATGGGTGACACAGAGCCCTTGGGGACATGCAGGAGCTTGGATGTCAACAGACAGGGGCCAGTGTCCCTCCCTGCCTGCTGCCCGGGCTAACTCAAAAACACGCTGGAATGATTTATCCCTGAAGAACGAGGCTGGATGTTCCTCCCATGGAACATCAACCCTCTGTGGCTGCTGTCACTGCATAAACCCAATGTCACCTCGTGCTCGTCCCAGGGAGTTTCAGCCACGGGAAATGGTTTTACTGAGGGCAGACAATGGAGGAGACAGTGCTGGTGGATGAGGGAACAGTGACCCGTGTCACCCACCTGGACTTGCGTAAAGTGTTTGACACAGTCCCACACTCCATCCTTGTCCCCAGACTGGAGAGACAGGGATTTCCTGGGAGGATGAGGAAGGGGCTGGTGGTCACACTCAGTTGTGGTCGCTGGCTCGGTGTCCGAGTGCAGAGCAGTGACAAGAGGGACACTCAGCGTCGGGAGTTCCAGGGCCTGAAGGGGCTCCAGGAGAGCTGGAGAGGGACAGGACATAGGGAATGCCTTTAGCTGAAAAAAGGTACATTTAAATTTTTATTAAGAGGAAACTCCTCCCTGGGAGGGTGGGCAGGGCCTGCCACAGGTGCCCAGAGCAGCTGTGGCTGCCCTTGGATCCCAGGCCAGGCTGGATGGGGCGACAGTGGAAGTGTCCCTATCCAGCGGGTGCCACTGGATGATCCTTAAGGTTGGTTCCAACCCAAGCCAGTTTGTGATTCTGTGACTGTAAAAACACATCCCTTCAACCCCTCACCGTCCTGCTAGCTACACGTCATCCCTTTATCCTCCTGCTCTCCTCCTGCATGCACAGAGGGTTGCCTTTCTGGGCCAGAAGGGCCGCGGAGGATTATGAGCAGCAGCACGAGTGGTCCCTGCTGTTCGGCCACCTGGAGGGGCGGCTGGGCCCTGCTTTGTCACCAGGCTCCTTCAGCTCCTTCACAGCCACGAGTGCTGTGCCACACGCTCCCAGGGCTTCCTCTCCCGCTTTAAATATGGCCCTTTCCTGCCCCACAGCACGGCTCCCATGGGATCTCCTTCATACCCTCAGCCTCGTCCCTCCAGCCCGCGCCCCTCAGCGCCTCTCGCCCCTCAGCTCCTCTCCCCTCAGCTCCTCTCTCCCCTCAGCTCCTCTCTCCCCTCAGTTCCTCTCTCCCCTCAGCTCCTCTCTCCCCTCAGCTCCTCTCTCCCCTCAGCTTCTCTCTCCCCTCAGCTTCTCTCTCCCCTCAGCTCCTCTCTCCCCTCAGCTCCTCTCCCCTCAGCCCCTCTCTCCCCTCAGCTCCTCTCCCCTCAGCCCCTCTCTCCCCTCAGCTCCTCTCTCCCCTCAGCGCCTCTCTCCCCTCAGCTTCTCTCTCCCCTCAGCCCCTCTCTCCCCTCAGCTCCTCTCCCCTCAGCTCCTCTCGCCCCTCAGCTTCTCTCTCCCCTCAGCGCCTCTCTCCCCTCAGCCCCTCTCTCCCCTCAGCTTCTCTCTCCCCATAGCTCCTCTCTCCCCTCAGCTCCTCTCTCCCCTCAGCCCCTCTCTCCCCTCAGCCCCTCTCTCCCCTCAGCCCCTCTCTCCCCTCCGCTTCTCTCTCCCCTCAGCTCCTCTCCCCTCAGCTCCTCTCTCCCCTCAGCTCCTCTCTCCCCTCAGCGCCTCTCGCCCCTCAGCTCCTCTCTCCCCTCAGCTCCTCTCTCCCCTCAGCTTCTCTCCCCTCAGCCCCTCTCCCCTCAGCCCCTCTCTCCCCTCAGCTCCTCTCTCCCCTCAGCTTCTCTCTCCCCTCAGCTCCTCTCTCCCCTCAGCCCCTCTCTCCCCTCAGCTCCTCTCTCCCCTCAGCTCCTCTCTCCCCTCAGCTTCTCTCCCCTCAGCCCCTCTCCCCTCAGCCCCTCTCTCCCCTCAGCTCCTCTCTCCCCTCAGCTTCTCTCTCCCCTCAGCTCCTCTCTCCCCTCAGCCCCTCTCTCCCCTCAGCGCCTCTCTCCCCTCAGCGCCTCTCTCCCCTCAGCGCCTCTCTCCCCTCAGCTCTTCTCTCCCCTCAGCTCATCTCTCCCTCAGCCGCGTCCCCGCCCTCCACCACCGCCCATTGGCCCCGCCCCATCCCTGGCCCCGCCCCATCCCTGGCCCCGCCCCGCGCCGCACCCAACCGCTCTGCCCGTTCACCGCAGCGCCGCCTCCGCCCCGCGCGGCCGCGCGCCGCCCGCGCTCGCGCGGATTGGCCGCTGCCGGGCGCGGCGCGGCGCTGATTGGCCGGGCGGCGCGGAGCCCCGCCCCCCTCAGCCAGCAGGGTAGTGCGCTCGGCGCGCGGCCAGCGCGGCTCCGCTCCCCGCTCCTCCTCCCGCCGGGCCCGCAGGGGACAGCGACACTCGCCAGGCGCCTCCGTCCCGGCGCTGCCCCGCGCCCCCAACGCTCGGTAAGGCCGCGGGGAGGGGGCTGCTGCCGGGCACGGGGCGCGGGGACGGCGCGCTGCGGGTGCGCCGCTCCCCGACGCGGCCCGAGCCGGGTGGGGGCTCCGGCCTCGCCGGGGCCGGGCCGGGTTGGGCGGCGGCAGCGGCTGAGGGGCGCGGGGAGCGCCCGCAGCATCCCCGAGCATCTCCCGGGAGAGCCGGCGGAGGCAGCGGGCGCTGCCGGGGCGCGGCTTTGTTGCTCGGAAGCAGCGGCCGGGCCGGGCCCGGGGGTCGCGGCGGTTTCCCGGGCGTTCCCCGGCCTTTCTCCCGCGGGGTCCCTCCGGCTCCGCCGGGCGCACGGGCCCGGGGGTTCCGCTCAACGGCGGCGCAGCGGTTCCGCAGTTCTCCGCGGGACGGTGGGAACTTTCCGTGCCCCGTCCTTCCCCGCCGCTGCCGGCTTTATAAGGAGGGCGGCGGGCTCGCAGAGGATGAGCATGGGCAGAGCGCGGCTCGCAGCGCTGGGTGTGGCGGCCGGGGATGCGCCAGGCTCCGGCCAGGCCTGTGCTCAGTCATCGCGGCCGAGCGGGCCCCGCTTTCGGGATGAGCAAACTTCTCTGCGGAGCACGGCCGGGCTGGCAGCTACAGCAGTGAAACCAGTGCTTGCCGCGGTGCGGGGCTGCTGTTAATAAGTGTGTAAGCTCGAGGCGGTGAAGTTTTGGGTTCTGCAGATGCTCTTCTGCTGCCAAAAGCTGCTTCTAAGCGTATCCTGGTAGTATGAGTGTTGTACGCTCTCCTTCTGTGTGTTAAAAGCTGAGTTTGGATGTTCAGTTCTCTTTTCTTTAGGTGGTTCTTGATCTCTCCTACTTGGTCGTTCCCTCACTTACTTCCTTCCCCTGATTCCTGTATGGATTTAGCAGATTAGCTCATTGATTTTAGAGGTCTTAAAAAAGTTTTTATTTGTTTTTCAAGCTGGACTCATCCATTCAGTGAACCATGTTCTTCCCAGTTTACAATTCAAGCTGGAAGGCTTCTTGAATAATACAATAGGCGTCCAAGCCCTGCTCAGTGTTTCAGTGTGCAGTAACAAGCCTTGCTCGGGGCCTCCTCCTGCTCAGCGTGTGATGCTGCTGCAGCTTCATTTTGTAAACTCAAGGGACAGGACTGCACTGGAGTTTTACAACTCTAAAACTTCTTTTCTCCTTGCCAGGGCCTGATGTCCCATCTGGTATGTTTTGCTGGTATTGTATCTATAAGTTGCTATTGCAGCTTAACTCCTTTATTTGAGAAAGAGAAATTGTAACTCAGAATTATTCTGTTTGACAATACAATTATGACAAAGGTGACATTGGCTGGACAGACCTGTCTGTCAAATTGACTTTATGGGTTTTTGTTTGTTTTTCTTTGTGAGAAGCAAGGAGGTTCCTGAGTATCCTTCCAGATGCATTTTGCAGGATTCATTGGGCTCTTTAAATTTTAAACTTTTTTATTCTTTTGTGCCTTCTTGCATCAGAAGAGAGGGGCTTTTTCAGTTTGAAAAAGAGCTTAACTTGCTTGCTGTTGCAACAACAGCAATATCCTGTGTCTTTTGTTTGGTAATAATTACATGTTAGTGACAAATAATAAGCTTGAAGGCAGAATAGCTGATCTGTTTGGGACTGTGATTGTTGACTCTGAAGTTGAAGGCCGTGGATATTATTAAATCTGTTTTTGTGTGTCTCTGCAGAAATGACATCAGGGAAAGATCAGATAATACAAAGAAGTGTCAGTGGTTTGGAGATGCCAGCCCAGGGAGTTCAGCTAGAGCCCAGTGTTGCCATGGGTACAGTTTGTGGGTCACCCTGGTTCCCCCCGAGCCCTCAGCTGATATTAGGAGAGGATTATGTCACTCCTGTCCTTAAGGAGCAAACGGGGAGGCTGCTGGAGGACTCTTATGGCAGCAGATCCTGACTTTATCAGCTTGTTCCTCCAAAGGCAGGGCTGTGCCAGGCACTGTCCTGTGCTGCCCACTGATGCCAGGCAGGCTCCCAGGAGTGGGGACACCGTGGGACACCAGGGCTCCTCTGTGCCAGCTGCAGCACCTCACCCTGGCAGCAGACCTGGAGATCTGCTTTAGCAAGCTGCCTGATTTGTCTGTGGGGAGCTTTGAAGGTTGTGACTGCTGTGGTAAGTGATGAGTGCAGCCCTGTTTGGGTGAGCACAGGAGGTGAATAATCACACCAGAGGCTTGCAGACACTGCTGGAGCCAACCTGGCCTTACTCTGGTAAGTGTCATTTACAGGTGGCAGTATTAATTCTGAACTATTTGGGTTCACTTCAGTGTCTGTTCCCTCCCAGAGACACCAGGCAGTTTAAGTCAAGGTTTTAAATAGCAGAGATTTCCCAGACTCTTCTGTGATGTTATCAAACACCCCCACGCCTCCAGCAGCCCGAGCAGCAGTGAGAACAGAAGCAAATTGGGGTTTTGGAGGGGCAGAAGGTGAGGCTGAGTGGAGGCTGGGGCAGGACTGGATTTCCAGCTTTAAGCTCGTTATGTGCAGTCTGAGGAGTGCTCAGTTGAAGCAGATGAATTACGTATTCCTGCTGGTAAAAGGGCTGACACAGCTGTAATTTCAGCCAATGGAGCTGTAATTATATTTGAGGTCCCAACTCCTGTAGTATTTTAGTGGTTGCATGTCTTCCCTAGAAATAAATTAATCTGAGCCATTCAGTCATCTCTGAGTCCTTACAGGGTTCAGATCTGGTTTGCACCCATTGCATGTTCTTGTTCTTGTGTACCTCAGGCTTAAACTCACCTGTTTGCTGAGCCAGTGATGTCTCCTCCACTCAGTTCCTGGACTGCATTTGTCTCTCTGCACTGTGTCTTGATGTGCAAGCTTCCAAATCCTGACCTACACCAAACTTATGACTCAGGCAAACCACTGGTCAGACAGGGTTTAAGTCTGTCAGGATGAATTCAAGCTACTTGCAATTCAAATGAAAGTGGTGGTTACTTGAAAGTGAAATAATGTGTGACTATACCTTGGTTTGGTCCAGAAAAACCCCAAATAATTTATTTTGCTAGGCCAGACACAGATTGGAAGATAAAATTCCAGCCTCCTCCGCTGAGAATGAAGAGTTCAAGGTGTGTTACTCATCGTGTTGTTGCGAGTCAGATTGCAGACAACAAAATTATAATTTGTGTAGGTATCTGTGGAGTTTCAAAGGCAAATTGAAGAAGCTGATAGTGCTCTGAAAGGCAGAGTTATTTCCTGGAACTCTGTGTTAGTGCTTCCTGTATCAAATGAAACAGAAGAAACTCCTGCTTAGTCAAATGTCTGTGTCTACAGCTTCCTCGTGCTTTAACAGCAATTGAACTGATTATTTGTGTGCTTTCTTTTTTTCCTCCTTGAAGGCAAATGAAATTATAGTCAGCTGTAGATCAGAGAAGCCAGGGGTCTGTCATTACAGCACGTGGGAGGGGGCAGAGAGCTGGAGCCTTGAGCCGGAGCCACCAGCGCTGCATCATCTCCACAGAGTTCATCTCCAGAAGAAAGGGTGGATGTCCTCTGGAGCAGGTTCTTGGGAGATGGTGGAGAAGCTGGGCTGAGCAGAGCAGGTAGGACCCCTGCATCCTGTGGGGGGGTTTCTCCTCCTACAGCTCAGAAAGCAATTCCATGGCTTAGTGTTGCACACATGGGAAGGAATTTCTCGTGGGAAGAAAAGGTCAGTGAAATCAGTTGCTGTAGATGTTATGCAGATTTTAACTGGGTAATGAGGAGAATGGAATACTTGTGGCTCACACTGCTGCCCTGTGTTGCTCTGGTTTCTTGAAATTGCGTTAGAAATTATTAAATACTAAATTTATTTAAAATTATTGGGTAATGTGACTCTGAAGGATTATGAGCAGACATTGGTGTCACACTCTAGCACTCTTAAAAATTATGTTGGGATCGTGCTGAGGATTTGCCCCAAACAAGATCAGTCTTAGACTCCTCTGAGTAAATTACTCATTTTTGTGTGTTGCCACGAGAGCCCATAGTTTGGCATGCTGGAGAGCAAAACTTTTTGCAGTTGCTGCTGTAGAAAACACGGGAGACACCAAGTTTATATGTAGGATAAAAATGGCTGTGCATGTAAATGATGGTGTATTCCATCTCCATAATGCACATTGTTCCCTGGAAATGTCTGCTGGGAGCTGGGTTATTTATTCTGTGCTCCCCTGGAGACAGGGAGGGAAGGGGCTGATTTCTTCCCTCGCTCTTAGAAAAGGCTGCTCCTTGCTGCTCTTTTAATCCTTGCCTTACTTTATTTTATTCCCTGCCTCTTAGAACTTTTCTCAGATGGGGTGGCAACTGCTGAATTGGTGGCTCCTCCGGGGAGTAGCAAGATAGCAGCACTGAGATAAAGCTCACAGTGTCCCTGTGATTTGAACAAAAGTGGCAAACACAAACAGGAGTTGTAGTTGCATTATCGAGGGAGGTTTGTGTAATGCAATAGGCCCTGCATTAGCTTTCCTTTGCCAAGGTTGGATTTCCAGCCTCCTGGAGCTGGAACTCCCCTTGGAAAGAGAGTTGAACACGGACAAGCAGCGTGCTGGGGTCTGTCCCCTGCCCAAAAGGAGCGTGTTGGCAGGGTGGAAGAGTGGCTGTGTGGGTGGGAGGAGGGTTGGGTCCCAGCTGTACCCCGGGCAGGTGACGTGCCACGCGTGGTGTGGCTGCGGATTAAGGTGGGATGAGCAGTGCCCCGGCTGCGTGCTGGCCATCAGGCTGCTCCCAGGAGCTTCTGGGACAAGTATGCAGTTAATCACATCCATTAGCATGATTAAAATCCTGATTAGTCTGTGTCACTCACTCCCAGTTTCTTCCTACACTTTACCCCTTTTTATCCGGGGTGTTTGCAACTGTCAGCAGCAGCAGCGAGGCTGGGAATTGTAAATGGATCCCAGGATTCTGGGCTTTGTGTTGGAACAAAGTTCCTCAGAAAGCTGCCCAGCTGCTGGCTGAAGAGAACATCTGAAAAATCATCCCATCACAGCTGGGGGAGCCTC